AAGTAATTTTAAAGGCTATTGTTCACTTACATCTATTTTTATTACCACAAAAAAATTTATTATAATTATAGGGCACTATGAAATCCGTTTTATTTCCAAATTCAGTTTTTTTCAATTTTCATTTTTCTATACTCCGTTTTGATGGTTAAATTAAATTTTATTAATCAAAAAGCCTGCCTAATTAATTGAGTTTTACAGTTTTATCTTTACCAAATTCTGTTTTCCATTATTTTCTGGATTCCATTTTAATGGTTCCATTAAATTTTAATAATCAAAAGCATCTCCAATTAATTTATTTTATAAAAAAAAAAAAAAAAAAAGTTTATTTATTTATTTACATTTTTCTCCTAAATAAATTATGGTAAATAACATTTCTGGTAAATACTCCTTTAAAAGGCGTTTTTTGATTATAATTTTATTATTAGTAGACTAGAACACATGGATATGTTGTCATTCTTACACTATAATACTGAACTTTGATTTCAGTGATTTGGACTATGAGATGGACACTTGCTTCTTGCACTCTATGTTGCACTTTACTTTTGCTTTAAAAAAAAGGATTTCATAGAAATTTGGATTTCATTTGGTTTAATAAAATATAGTTTAATAAAATATTAAGTAAAATTGTTGATTTTTTTTGTGTGGGGAATTAATCGTTTAGATTAATCGATAAATTAGTAGATAGATTAATCGAAATAAAAATAGTCGTTAGTGGCAGCCCTAATAGTTTTTATGTTATGTGTATGTAAATGAATTGTTACTTGAGATGTTATCTACGATGTTTATGGTCTTTTCGGACAAGATAAGCGATATATTGAAATCGTTAAGGTTGGGTGTGCCAGCTGCGCACTTGCCGACAAAGGTAACTGATCCAACACAAAAATATATTTCTTTATGTACATACTTATGCAGGAAATATTAAGCATGAACATGTATCTGGTATTAGTATCAGAAATTAATTTGGATATACAATAAATATTACAATACAAGCCTCTGTTAATATTGCTCTGTAATGTAATGAAATTCAAAGCTTACTATGCATCATCTTGGAAATACAGTTTCATGTCTTTAAGTCTGTATCATCTGTAGTCAGTGTTATTTATCTGAATAAGTTCTGTGTGTTTTTTTATGCCCTGATGGAACAATGTCTATTTCAGACTCTTCAAGATCGCAGTTAACTATAGCATTACCGTTTCCATAGGAGTAAAATGTTATGTTATGTATGTTTACATTTAGACATTCAGCAGACGCTTTTATCCAACGGACTTACAAATGAGGACAATGGAAGCAATCAAAATCAACAAAAGAGCAATGATATGCAAGTGCTATAACAAGTCTCAGTTAGCTTAACGCAGTATACGTAGCAAGTTTTTTTTTTTTATTATATAATAAATAAAAAGAAAAACAGATAGAATAGAAAAAGAATAGAGCAAGAAAATTGGTATGTATGTTTAATTAATTACTACTTTAACCAACGTTTAAATCACTAACTGTTTCAAAATGTATGCTGTTAACAAAATCATTATTGAAACATTTGCCGTTAGCCTACTGTACAAATAAAAACAATAAAACAACAATACATAAACAGTGAACGCACAAGGCGAATTAATATACAATGCATAAATCTTTGAATAATATTTGGTAATGAATACCAATATGGCAGTGCGGTGGTTTCACTTTTTTGACGTAATCCGCAATCCAGTTCTCTATTATAGATCAGCGGTCCCAAGTGATAGTGTTCAAAAGGGACGAGACGCCCCGTAAAATTTTTAAATGTATTCATATTAAGTTTCTGATCATTCTGTTTATGTTTATCATGTTAAAATGGCATACTTTTTTCTAAGTAAAAAAAAAAAAGACTCCTGGCTGATCCCAAGTCATCTTTACAGTGAAGCCTCACCTGAGTCCTGGCTGGGGGTTTGGCTTTATCACTCCCAGGAAACTTCACTTTGTTGGAAATTCTGGACGCTTGCTCTTTACAGAACTTGATGTGGCGATCTGCTGCATTCTCACTGAAGCGCCGCTGGCAATAGGGACACTGGATATAATCTGGAAAAGTCCATCGCTGTTACTGTTTTTACCGATCTTACTGTAACTCTTCCAAGTGTCAATAGACTAGTGTTTTGTTTTTTTACCTGGATCATAGGATGGAGGAGGGGGTGGAGGAAGGGGTCCGCCATCTTTCATGACTTGATCTAAACCTTTGGCAGCACGAATGGTGGCAATGAATTCTTCATGCTTTCGGCGCCAATTGGACTGTTTCTTCGGTGGTTCAGGCTGTTTAAAACAAACATTTAGTTTAAAAACATTTTAATGAAAATCAAACAGGAATGCAGGATATTCTAATTCTAAATTTCCTAAATCACCTACTACATAACCTTCAAAGGGGGAAAGATTACTTCATTATTTAAAATGTAGGAATGTACCATTATTAAAATTCTGATAATTTTCATGTTATAACCAAAAATGATAAATGGACAATATTCAAATTCTATATCATTTTGTCTAAATGAAAAGTAAAAACTCTAAAAAATAATAATAAATCATATTTAAGACTACAAGTGAATTTAGGCATCACAACATTATACCGCACAGTATGAAAATGAATTTTTATTCGTTATTTTTATTAGTGTTTTAAGTTTTAAAATGTGTTAAAAATGTTGAATATTATTATAATCTAATTAAACTAAAACATTTATCATCAATGTATCGATACTCGAAACCACGATCAGCAATGCAGCGATTGGCTGGCGGCAAGACAGCAACGTAATCACATCATATAATTAAAAAAGACACCTGTCGAAAAACTTGACAAATTTTTTGACTTTTATAAGGAAACAGACAAGCGAACAAAACTACATAAATGTTATAATAGATCAATGAAATGTGCACTGTTTTAATTTTATTTTCATTTTTTACATGATTCCCAATTTTTTATATTCACGATTTCTAATATTTTAAATTTTTTGAATTTAGCAATTCATTTAATTTTATATTTGAACAGATTTGTTACGTGACAGCATTAATTAAAGTTTCTTAAGGGTCAAGATCATGTTATC